GCGAACTTTGCTAGACAGTAGTTCAGAGTTATAGAACCCTTCTTCAGGAAAGTCACATGCACTATACGCTGTAATAGATTCTTCTGAAGAGTTGATTCCAGGAGTTAATCTTAAAAACAAAACCACCACGTAAGATAACCGTGGAACGTGCGTGAAAAAGTACAAATCGAAAATTTAGTCTTCATCGAACCACAGACTCTAGCTAATCCTATAAATACCTGATCCTGGGTGATTTAACCGATTTCCCTAACAGAAACGTAGAGAATATCTGAGAACATGGTAATCTAAGAAAATCTACTAAAAAGACTAAATCGACTAAAACTTACGATTTCAATTTATTTCTCAGAATTATAATGTAATTGACTATTCCAAAACACTTCCTTTTTAAAACTATCGATATTTTTGTTAAATGTTGGGAGTCTCCTGGCGAATCCGGGAGAATTGGCAACCTACACTGTTACCCCAGAAGACAACTTCCATGATTTTACCGGTAGAGATAGAAACTTTGTGCAGAACGATTGTGCCATTCAAATAAAGGTGTACTGTACAGTACAGTTCTGAACACTTATTAAACTTTTCGTGGGAATTTCCATGCTACTGACACTTTCATTTACGTGAAACATCATCCCAATTCACTGTTTGTGATCGGATGTTAATGTTGACGGCACGTAAACAAACTACAAAAGTAAAAGAAAATTAATAATGATAATTCTTATTTTCTTTTATTATATTATATGTAATCAATTATTAATGTTAAACTTTTTAATTAATAAACTTCCGCTTCCGGTTTTGGGTGGGGACAGTCTAGAAAAAATGTCTGACTGAGAGCACGGTTTTTTTTATCATATATACGATTGAGAAATTTCCGATGTCAGTTAAACATGCTGACACATTCTTTAATAACAAGAGGGGAAGAAAGATAGGAAATTCATATTTCGTCCATTCAGTATTAGTAATCTGTGTGGGTGATATTTGGATTGTTTAATTAATACACTATATTAGGCTTACGGAAGCTACTAATAATTGTTTACCAAACTTGCAATTGAATTATATTTTTGAATCGCGGCTGGACAATCTAGTTGTATTTTAGTTCTTTTACCGATTTTGCATTTGGTTTAGAAGGCACATGTCAGGCTGAATGGCTGCTGATAAAAATATCGGGAAGACAACTAATTTTACATACTGTGAATTTCACAGAACAATTGTTAAAACATATTTTAGAATGTATGGAAACTATCTATTAAAAAATCCTGTTAGTTGCTCAGTATTTCTGCTTGTGTCTCTTCTGATGTGCGGCCGGATGCAGACGCTGATGCATGGCCACAATACAGAAAACTACTCACAGAGAAGATGCGGTATTTGCATCAACAGACAAAGATTATTTGCAAGAACTGTAAGATTGGGTTGCTAGTAGAAATAAAGAGAAAGTATTTGTATTTTAATATTCCTAATACTGTATCAGTTTTGTTGTACGCACAATACCATCTGTGGATGACACCATTAAAAATAGCTTTAATTATAGTTAAATTTAAATTAAATGAAGTTATTTCCAGTGGCGGCCTTAGGGGGTGGCGAGCAGGGCAATCGCCCGGGGCCTCGCTCTTGGAGGGGCCTCGCGCAACAACCAAGTAGAAAAAAGTTGATATTTAAAACTTTTTATTTTATCCTTGGCTATTAGTTATAACAATAAAATAAATTTAATTTATAGTACAGTATATATTAATATTAATAAGTGCCTACTATTACAATTCACATACTTTGCACAAAGGATAAGGGCCTCGCAAAGATCTGCCGCCCAGAGCCTCGCAATGGATAAGGCCGCCGCTGGTTATTTCATATCTATACAGACATAGTTGTAAAACTTACATGAATATCGGATATGAATATTGTATCCGTGGAAATTGACAGGTTAAATACCTTCGAGATGTTTGGCGTATAGATAAAATACCCTTTATTTACAAAAAGGTTTAAATGAATATTAAATTATCCCCTATAAATCGACTTACTAAATAGCGGACCTACTAAAAACCATTTTAATTGCAAAAATTTTTTTATAAAACATTTTAAGTGTAAAGATATTTTAATAATGAAATGTATTTAAATTAACAGTGAATTAAAAAATATGATGTATTTTCGATTATCATACCACAGGATATCCCGAGAAGTAATGGTGTGTTATAATTGTCATAATAAGAAACATTGTGTGATATAAGGAACTTATATTTCTGTTTTTATTATGTAGCCGGCAAAAGAGGGCTTGGGCCCGAAACGCTTCTCGGCAAATAAGAAATTCCCGAATAAAAGTTGATGATTGAATTGCCAAGTGTCTGTACAGTAGACCACTATAAAACGGGTTCATATAATGCGGATTCGTATATAACGGCGAAGAAATTGCGACATATTCGTATAAATGCGCTAAAAGAGACTAATATGATACGGTAAAACGTCATCGTCCACTCGTGTAGCGACAGGATTGGTCGAATCTAGACCAATAGCGGATTTGCACAAACCATTGAGTTTAAACGAGCAGCGGACCTACTAAAAACCATTTATTATTTAAGCATTTGGCCAATTTATTAAAAATTGTTCAATCTTTTTTTAAACTATTTTCACCCTGTGGGCACTAAGAGGGCCTCTTTTAGCAAGCCCGTTATGGGTTCGGCCAGACCCACAATGGGGCGGCCGGATGGTGAGGGACAGGCCCCGACATATCCGGACGGACCACACCAAAAATTTCTGGGGATTTTTTGACCAGTCTGAATTTGATCCCGGGTCTCCAGAGCAGAGGGCTGCCCGATAGAGGGGTTGTAAAGGGAGGATATTCGCATTATAGTGTAGCACATGTCCGACATAATATATATCGGCAAAAGTCTACAGTGATTGCCCTATTAGTTTTTGAAATACAGTCGACCCCCCATAAGACGGTAGATACGTTCCGTTCTTTATGAATCCATTTTGTACGAGTCCTTTCCAATCACAGCCCGCGCACGTATGCGCTTTACGGACTACGGCTGTTTGAAAGGTTTTCTTCCATAAAATTAATCGATTATTAGACTAATTCGACTCAATATTTCCGAAACACGTATATTTTTTTGGGAATAATCCGTATAAACTATGCTATAAACAAAAAATTGTAGGATTACTTACGGAGTGTGCACCATTCGACAACGCCATTGCTTAAGCTTGTTTTCGTCGCGGAGCAGCGCACCAAATGGTGGGCGCGATTTCTGATAAGTTATTTTTCTGCGAAAACTTCGTTGAACTTTGGAGACATCATTAATATAAATAATTTTTATGGCCGTTGAATAAGAAATGTTTCTTTCACAAGAAATGTATAAAATTAGTGCTGTATTAGACTTACGGTACCTAATTTACATACAGTACAGACGATAGTAAACTCAACTTACTCGCCTAAACTCTCCGTAGCGTGGCGCTGGACGGCGGAAAGTACATATATAAAATTATAATAAAGTTACAATAAATTAAGTTAATATATAATTATATATACAGTACATAATTTATATATAATTATATGTACAGTACCTAGTTTATATATAATTTATATATAATACTGTACAGACGATAGTAAACTCAATTTACCCGCCTAAACTGTCCGTAGCGTGGCGCTGGACGGCGGAAAGTAGTTCGGCTGCCCGATGACGTTTTACCGAATTATAGGAGGTTTTTTTTATCATGTTTGTACGGATACCGTCGCAATTTTTTCGCCGTCGTATAGCAATCCGAACTATAGCAACCCGTGTTATAGGGGGTCGACTGTAATTGGTCGGGAGAGCGGTCTAGATGACAGCGATAGGCTGCCACCTAGACCGCTCGGCCATCCGGCTTGCAAAGGTGCCTGCAGACTATAAAAAGGTGGCACAAGCTATAAAAAAGCGTCTATATTATGCAAGAAAGTTCAAACTCTACGATTCAACATCAGATCAGCGGTCCACACAAGTTGGTGCTGATTGTACTCTGGGTTAACCTGGATTAACCAGGCTTTGCAAACAAGAAATGTGGTTTTGGTCTAAATACAACAAATAAATAACTATATAAAAATAGTTCCACAGGACAATGGACAAATATCATTCAGTAGTTTCTTTAAATTTATAGCAGGGCTGTGGAGTCGCGTAAAAATCTACCGACTCCGACTCCAACTTTTCCTTACCATCCGACTCCGACTCTGACTTTTCCTTACCATCCGACTCCGACTCCGACTCCGACTCCGTTTCATATACATAATAAGTTGGTAAGTAAAAGGGAGTCGGAGTCGGCGGACTTTTTGACGACTCCGACTCCGACTCCGACTTCGGCTAAAACACCAAAACTCCACGACTCCGACTAAGACTCCAACTCCGACTCCACAGCTCTGATTTATAGAATAAATTAGTCATGAATTTTCTGTTGTTTGTTGATAATGGGATTTAGGAACACCTCGAGGATTAGACCAACCCAATATACGGAAGCTCCGGATCGTTACCTTAGTCGCTTGGCCATCCGGCCGTCTATAAAATGGTAATAATTACGTGGTAATAGATTACGCTATTGGTTTACTTACTTAGCTGCTTGTTACTTAGAAATACCAAAATACAATTCGATATGTTAATACATAAATATAAATATTGCATTTCAGTAAATGTTTTAAAAAATTTCACTTTATATCTGTTTTCATTACATATTTTCCATTACATGGTTAATTAATTAATACAGTATTGTTATTTATATTTACACATTTAAATTGTTCAGATGGATGGGCGGTTAAGGCCTGTCTATTCGAGGAAGCTGGATTCGAATTGGGGGTCGGATCGTTGGGCTCCGGATATCTCACTATGGGCAAAAATTATTTAAAAATCTTTTTATCTGTCTCAAAAAATCACTATAATATATTATTTATATAAAATTATAATAAAAGGCATTTAAATAGAAGATATAACAGTTTTTATTAATGAAATATTTCTGTTTAAAATTGGGCGGAATTTGGGCTATTTCCAAAAGCCATCGTTATCATTTGAGAAACAGGATGGGAACGGTTAAATGGAAGGTAAAGTAAAGACGTTTGGATATGTCAAATGGTTGGTATTTTAATCATTTCTCATATTAAACTTAATTTTATACATATTTATTTGAAATTTATGTCAGATATCGATTCACTTAATCGAAATGAAAGAAAAGAGGAAATTTAAAAGTAAATATTTGAAAGATCTTTAAACTTACATGTAAACAAAGGCGTTGACCCATCTGAACGTGCAATTAAAAGATTTTCACCCGTGAAATTCTGCAAGTTTTAATGCTGTAAAATACATTTTTGTTTTGATTAATTAATTGATTTTTAGTAGAATTTTGCAAATTATAAATGTTTACAAGTTTGCAAAAAAAGGATAAAAAGTTAACAAAAGGAAAATTAAAGGTAGTTGCATTAATTAAGGAAAAAATAGTTCATGAGGTTACATTGCAGATATTTCCTTCTCCACCTTATTATGTTTTGGGAGTTGCTTTTTGTCCTAAAGTTCATTACAAAAAGTAACTCCCGAGTGAACCGGAAAATACTATGTTTTGAAATGTTTATTGTTTATTTGAGAAAGGCATATGAATTTCAATTATATTTACTGAAATGTCAAGTTTAAATATTAAATACTATTTTTTAAAAAATTTATTTATAAGATTACTGTTTTAATCGTTTCAAAATTATCTAATGGCTAGGAATGTCAAACAAGAAATAATATTAAATAAGAACTTTTCAAACTAAACATTATTTTGGCTCAATTCGAGCTTCGAATGATACATTTGAGACCTGTAGAGCTGTCACTTGCCTACATTTGAATTTAGCATACTATAATCAATTTATGTCAATTTACTTTTATACTTAATAGATAATTACAAAGAGAATAACTGTTTAATCCGAAAAATTGATTACATATAAATTTTATTAACATATGTAATTAAAACATTAGTCTTCTATAGACATCTTAATCTGTGATAAAATACTTAAACAAAACTGTCTTATGGTGTTATGTCAAATAACAAAGAAAGACTTCAGGCTAAAATATATTTAATGTTAGTATCTGAGATTGTTTTATAGATAGGCTTACTGGACAATCCAAATCCTTACAAATTCTTATACCTCATTCAAATTATCCAATAATTTGGATAAAACTGTGAATGTCAGTTTAGACATTCTTGTTAACTGCATGTTAACACCACTTTAGAGATGTCTTAGTTTTACCAACTGATGATGCATCCTGTTATATTATTCATATTACAGGTTAGTTTAAGGATATAAACATTTAAAAAATTTAACTAGTTTGCTTAGAATACAGATCTTTAATTCAACAAAAATTTTTTGGACGAATTTATTAAATTATTATATATACAGATGAGAGACTTAAGGCTAAAGATTAAATTGTTATTGCTGTGAAATTTTCTATCCTTGGTAGTTCAAAACACACAAGCAGAAAATACAGATATTATTTTGTAAAGACTAAAGATGTAATAGATATTTACTGCCAGTTGTAAGAACAACCATAATCTAAAACTTTCAAACAGTGCAATATTGAATTGGACAGTAACAGTTAATAGTTCAGTTGCTATTTCAAGTTGAGAATGAGATGTCACTGTGACAATGCTGAAGCGCCCCTTATTGCTTCGGCACCACTTGACCGAAAGGTCAACACCACGTTTGCGATGACAAAGTTGTCAGTCTGACACCACTGTGTCTGTAAGGACAGACACAGAAACCTTGATGGCTGCTAATTTAATTTTTTGCACAAACAGTTGCATTTGTAGGCACTTGGACTTGGAATGGAGATGGCCTGAGAGACAGCTGGAAGAAGTGCACACCACAACTTAATAATAAAAGAATAATACATGTTTATTTATGTAAACTATTTACACACATATATATAGGATAACAGAGTTTCATTATAGCTTTTATATAGCATCATATAATGGATATAGCGTAACATAATCGATTAGACTTTATACTAGTTGGTACTGTTTTAATGGGTTTCTAGCTGAGAGAGAGCTTACATTTTTACACGTGATGCTAAATACCTTGAGTTGAATCGACTTGATCAAAGTCTTGAGGTCGCAAAACATCCTGATGACGAGGTGGAGAGGTCTCAGCTAGGTTGGGTAGAGTTAGGCTCCTTGATGGTACAGTTCACTATCAAATGTTTGTTGCTAAGGCATCTGCGGTGAATGGCAGTCGAAGGGATCAGCGATGGAGCACGGTTAAACTACACTCACATGAAAAGGAGGTGGATCAGCAAACTCCTGGGCCCCGATGACTTTCTCGTCCTCGATTCTGCCCTTTTGTTTTGGGGGTCCTCCCCCTAGATTTTGACGTCCTCTTTAAGCCATGTTACTATTTTCAACCAATGGTGAATATTTGTAGTTAGTTCCCAGTGACATATCGAATGTGTCACCTGGGAAAGGAAGTGACTCCGGGGTGAAAAATGCAATCATCCTCTGGTAATTAAATTGAAATTTTTTGCTGGGATTTAAATGAATTGAAGAAAATTTTGTTTTTCTTAAAATTTTTATCAAATCCAGGCTCTCACATCACAAAGTTATTTAACTTATTCATATTAAAAAGCTTCTTGCTTATAATACAGGATCCCCTCGTTATATCATGGATTTGGATATATTGTGCTTTTTTTTTGTCCCCAAATTGTAAAACCTCTTGAGTCAATAAATTTAAAAATATAAATTGCCATTGAATTTTTTTTTTGCAATGAATGATATGTGGTATTTTATTCCTACCATTATCCTTGAAACTATTAGTGCAGGTGAAACAATAAATTTGTCATCTAAATAAGCAAAACAGGTGGACAGATCAATTATCATTTATGTTTCCTTTTGATATTAAAAGTTGTTTATTGGTTTTAAGTACTGTCTCCTCACAAGTTTTTGTGGCATTTCGAATTTACTGTGTAATGTGTAAGGAAAAGATTCATTTATTTCTGAATGGAAAGTTCTAAAATTTTTATACAGTAGTAACTTTATTTTGTTTTTTAGAGAAGTTTTACTCTCTGTAATTATAAATTTTGACATTTTATATGTTCAATGTTTAATCACCAAACATATGCCGTAAATCCATCGGGCTAGTTTTAAGGCTAATTACTAAATAAATTACGTAATTAATTTGGCACTAGAGGTAAGCGTTAGGCGCCATCTCTTATTAATATTAATAATTATAAATAAATTAATTAATTTAAATAANACATTGCCTATCAGAAATATTTAATTTTATTTTCCTCAATGAAACAAATGAACGTGAAAATAAAATTAAAACCTCTCGGTTTTAATTTTATTTTCACGTTCATTGTCAGGGTTTTAAATGTTATGGTTTTAAGTGTACTTTATTATGTATATTGTTTGCCTCTCACTGCTATTACTACTACTTTATGTATCATACTGTCATATCTACTCAAATACTTGTAAATTAATAATTATCATCTATATTTTATCAATCATCACCATTTCTGAGCTTCTCATAACCATTTACATCACAAAGAGTTGATAAGGGACTCAAAGTCCGAAATGCATACTCTAGGAAATAAAAAATGTGATTTTCTAAAGATTGTCCTGTTTCTAATTGATGGTGTAATAAGTCTAGCAGAAAAGCCGTCATAGAGCTTGTAAAATTGAAAAATTAAAACCATAATTTTTTGTAATTTGACAATTCTATAGTATTATTGTTTTGATTCTATAATAATTATGTAGAGTTAATTATCTAAAAATATTTTTTCATTGCTTCAGTTTGTCAAATAGAATAAAGGCCAATGATATATCTTTTTACATATTAATTTAAAGCAAAAAATATTTTCAGAGTAAATGTGTATGAGATTTGCATTTATTATTTTTGAATAGATCATAAGGATTTGAGAGAGATTTTCTAATGATAACTTATTGAAAACATGACCTTTATGAATTTCAAATGTATATGTATATCTAAACAAGATATTTTATTACTTATTAGAGCATTAAAAAAGTATATCATAAAGCAGGATGTTGAACATTCTTTAATATAACTTATGTTTTTTTTATATGTAACGTAATCTATCTTGTTTTCTACAAACATTTTCATATGTTTGATGATTTGTTTAAAATATTTAAACAAATAAGGTTTTTGTAAATTTATAGTTTGAAAATATAGATACACAAACATATACTGTATGTATGTATGTATGTATATATATATATATTTTACAGTGGACTTTTGTTTTTGTCAATCTTATTTAGTGTCAACTGTTGGTTACTATCATTAGTCTCTGAAGTTCTGGCATAAAGCCTATACTTGAGTGTACACTTACTCCACTTAAGGGAAATCTGATTAACATCAACCTTTTTAGTAGTCCAAATTGATACATATAGTGTACTAAACAATATCAGTTAACATCAATGTCACTTCTGATTTATTAATTTCTGCTGTAATTTATATTATTGCTTTCAAAAATAAAAACACACCAATCATACATACCCCAGCATGAAAGTTTTATGTAAAATAAATATTTTTGGCTATATTTATGGGCCTTCATTAGTCAAGAGAGCCATTCTATAAATCAAATAAGTTGTGAAACTAAACCAAATGATTGCCGTAGTTAATCGAACTATTAATTACAGTAATCATTTGGTTTAGTATCAGTGCATTGAGCTTCAGGATCTTTATTGTATTTAAGTTGTGAAACTTTCAAGAATAGAACATTCTACACATGCTCTGATGCAGGTTAAAGTTAAAATTTAAGAATTTTTAAAAAGTATTCTATATCTAACCGTATGGAGTTTTTACACTAAAAATCATAAATGATTAAAATGCAAAGATACATATATAGATTAAAATATTACAAATTAAACATAAATAAAATTAGATGAAAACTGAGCAAATAGAGATTGAGTATACTTTTTAATTACATATTGATCCCATTTGGAATGTTTTCCATTTTTGAAAGTTTATAACATATTCAATTAATAAATGAAGCTCTTGCCTGATGAAAGCCCATAAACATGACCAAAAAATGTTTGTGTTTACATATAAAAAACATTCCAAAATCCAATGCATTGATACTAAACC